ATGAAAAATTTGACTTGCGCTCAGAGCCCATTGTTGCAATTCTTCATATATATGCTCAAACTTTTGCAAACTCATTTATAGTGAGGAAGGGCTCTAAGAGCTCATGATAGCTGTAGTTGTCAAGCCTATTAAATTTCATAACCTTTTTTCCTTTTCATCTGAATTAACTGATTGGTGGAATAGCTTTACCTTTCAAATCCAACATAATTGTCAGAAGTTTGATATATTTGTAAGATTACATTTGTTTGCATTTTTGGAATTGTTAATTTATGTTAGACAATTAGGTAGTCCTATATTTATTTGTGAGCTCTAAAGTTTTTAGCGCAACGCGTTTTTGTAGCTAGTTTACTGATAATAGCTCTCTTTCTAATTGAAATAGATTTTCATGACGGCAAAATTTAACAATGAAAGCAATGATAATTAATTTGATGGTCAACTTTCTGGGTGCTTGAATATTTGAATGAAAGAAAGGAAATAATTGGTGTAAATCAGTTCTGTATCCTTGATGACTGACTAATTATTATGTTTTTTTGGAGTCAGATCAAGAAGAAGAGTTAACTTGTTGCAAACAAAAAAAATACAAACTGAGGTCGGGTATATCCTGCAGAATAGTGCAAGATTTAACAACATTAATCACAGTTGCTGGAGAGCAATATGTTATCATCTGAGGTTGATGTATGCAAAATTATACATTGCCATGATGGAAGTAGCTTATAAAAGTCAAGACAAACGAGCTATTGTTGAGTAATGAATAAAAATTAGGGAATTATTGATAAGTATGATTATTTGTTGAAGTATGAAATTTATTTGGCTGATTATTATTTGTGTGTAGATTTTCAGAAATTGATGTTTTCTATTTGCACAGGTCAGAGAACACAGCATCGAAGTGTGTGCCTGAAGAAGCTTTAGAGAAGGAGATTGTGACAGGCTGTTGCATCAGTTCCTGCGAGCAATTTTTGGCCGCCATCACGTCTCATAAGAAGCTGCTTGTATGGCAAGCAGTCAACTCTTCATGGCAGCTGCAGCGTTCCTGGAGCCTCATTAAGAGACCTGTTGACCTTATTTTTGACTCTTCAAGTGATCATGTCTTAGTGGCTGGTGCGTTTATGATAGTACACTCAAATTTACTCGTAGGTACCTTTGTTCTACTAAAGTAAAAGTACTTTTCAAAGTAAAAGCACTACTCATGGTACTTTTACTTTGGAAAGGTATTTCAAAATATGGATTTTTTAATAGGAATTCGTTCTCTATTTAATCCTCTGTCTGCTGATGGTAACTCTATTTTGATCTAAGATTCTAAGTATATACGAGAGGCAACCCAGAAAAACCAGGCTGCCTGTGTGGTGGGCGAAGTTTTGGTAGTGCCGCATTCTCTAAGTAGGTATGTGCATTAGGCCGCTGACATTCATCAGTAAGTGTGCCAACCATTGCTGTCCTAGAAGGCCGTGTATCATTTAAAAAAAATTTATGACACTTCTTTTGTGCGCCCGTCATTTTTTGGTAATGTCTGATTTTTGTGAGCAACGAGCTGCTATCCAATTTTGCTTTCTTCTGTGAAATACTGGAAAGGAAATGCTACAGACAGCCTACAATGAGATGCTTTGGTGTAAACGCAAGTTTTTGTGTAGTTTTCCCGCTTCAGAAAAGGTGAAATGTCATTTGACGATCAACCTCGCTCAGGTCGTCCTTCCAGTTATCGTACTGAAGGAAATGTTGTGAAAATTAGGGACCAAATCCCTGAATATCGACGTAAAAGTATTGACAAACATGCGAAACTGTCTCAAGTGACTTTGAGTTTTCTCTAACACATTTTTAAAGATTTTTAATAAATAAGTAAATTAAAACACAAAGTCCGGTTTTTTTGCACCCCCCGCTCGTATATAGTTACCGTATATATAGCATTCACATTGGTTAATGTGTATATTTGTAGACATAGAGATAAAGTAGAGTTATATGATTTCATGTCTATAAAATGTTATTTGTTCAGATAAAACCGGTGATGTGCTGCAGTTCAGTCTAGCTGATGCTTCCTCAAAGGACATATCGTCTGCTAACAAATCATCTTCTAATGAAGAATTTGAGGAGTGCAGTCCTGCTCCTGTCATCCTGGGGCACCTCTCCATGCTGCTCTCTATAGTGAGCGAGCGTAGACTTAAGTTTGGATTTTTCTTGCGCATTCAATTGGCCAGAAAAATTTCACTGGTTTGTAAAAACTAAGCGGTCATCCTTACTTGCCGTTTAAGATTGTTGGAAAATAAATTACAATCGATGTCTGATTTTTTAAGGAATCATTTACCCGAGTTTTTTTCGTCATTCAACAGTCGATGTCACACTGCGGTCGCTACGTAGCCACCGGTGACCGCGACGAGAAGATCCGCGTGTCGCACTACCCCCGCGCTCACAACATCGCAAGCTTTTGTCTCGGCCACAGCGAGTTCGTGGGGCAACTCCGGCCTATGCCTTCACATGCTCATCTTCTTCTCTCTGCTTCTGGCGTAATATATAATTCTATTCTATTATAATTTTTATTTTTCTTTATGAATTTTCAATCATCTTCAACTTATACATATGTACTTACAAGAGTGTGTCTTGACAAGCTGGTCATTGCATGTTATAAAGCAGGACTAATGAATCGATTGCATTGTTAGTGCATTTGAATCGATTAGGTTGTTGGTGCGTTTGAGTGCAGCTGTTATCAATATACCACTGTTTTAAGCAAGATAAATTGGTGATTCTCAGCTTCAATTCAATTAATATAGTTTTTCACCATTTCTAGGATGGCACTATTAGATTGTGGAATTTGGATGATGGCAAAGAGTTGTCCATGATCGACACACATGAACACTCGCAGTCGCTGATGGTAGTTAGCAAGATCACTAAAAGTGACGACGCAGCGAAAAGCGCTTCAAGCCCCAAAAGCCCCAGCACCTCTAGTGCGTCCCACCAGCAGGAGCGGACAGGCAGCCTCGGCAGAGGTCGGGTTATACCCAAGCAGTGCGCCGTTGTCGATGTGGCGGTCACTAGAGACACAGGCTCTGAGAGCGTTGATATCGTGGCCGCTGTGTTTGATAGGTCTCGAGCGCTGGCGCTCTACAGCGTCGAAGAGAATTTGCAGCTCAAGTTCCGGTGCTGTGTAGAGATGCCCAGGCCTGCAGTCTCTGTCACGTGGATCTCACATGACACTCTCGCTGCCGTGTGCCCATTACCTGTCCAGGTGATTTCTTATGTCCGTTGCTATCTATTTTTTATTTTCACGGAAGACTTCCTGCGTTTGTATTTATAAGGCAACTTTTAGGAAACGAGCAAGTTCGGTTCAGTAAATCTGTTCTCTATATTATTAAATATAGTTTTAGGTTGGTGAATCATAATTGTTATTTCTTTGACTGATATCTCCTCTTACTTAACTTACAAGTCAGTCTCGTATAATTGTCTTTTATTCTATTCGGTACATTTGTTCTTTATTATATTAATCATTATTATTTTCCTGAAGAATCATAATTGTTATTTCTTTGACTGATACCTCCTCTTACTTAACGCACAAATCACTCACGTATAATTGTCTTTTATTCTATTCGGTACATCTGTTCTTTATTATATTAATCATAATTATTTTCGTGAAGAATCATAATTGTTATTTCTTTGACTGATACCTCCTCTTATTTAACGCACAAGTCACTCACGTATCATTGTCTTTCATTCTATTCAGGATGATTCCTCTGAAAGCGTAGCTCACGATGTCAGCTCCCCATTGCCGGTGTGGCAGTTGGAAGGAGAGCAGCTGCGTCGCTTGCCCCACCACGCCCTCTCGGTCTTTGCTGATAAACACAGGCAACACTTTGTCGGTAAGCCATAGTTTATTAGGATGTTTAATGACGTAATCGTACTTCTATAGAACAGTTTTTATCGCATGAAATATGGAATTACATTTGATTCATGTAATTTAATTTGTATGCATGTTCTGCAAGTGATGGTTTAAACAATGACACTAGCTGTATTTTCTGTTGAAGTCAAACCTGTTCTTCATGTGCCAACGGCTGCAGAGTTGTTTTAGAAATTACAGTAATGTTCCTTCTAAAGATCTATACGCTATGGACGCTGGTGTCCTGTACAAACAACGCTACGATAACGTCGCGGAGTATGAGAAGAAGAAGCAGGAGCGCATTCAGCGGCAGCAAGAGAACAAGAAGCTTTGTAATGAATTAGATCTCAAGGGCCCTTCGAAACGTTTTCGGGCATCCGGCTCAGGAGAAGCAGCATCCTAAAATAAACCTTGATCTTATTTCGTGTTTTAGTTTCTTTTGCGTCAGAGCAATGTCAATGCCATTTAAACGCGTTTATTCGCTTTATTTTAGCAGCGGAGTATCGTTGCCTGCAGAATGGTGCCCAAAAATTATTGTTGCGGTGTAGTTTTTGTTTATTTGTGTACTTCATATTAGTGATGAGCAGACTAATTACTGCACCTAGTGAAAAATGAAGATCTACCGAACGCAACGCAACTATCGAGAATGCAGGAGTGGCCAAGGACATCAAGTGAATTTATATTCAGTAGCACCGATATTGTTTTTAGAGAAATTGAGCACGTGTATGAACGTGGTGGTTACTTACCATGGATAATCATTTTTACTTGGGCTTTACTTGGTTTAAAAAAACGCTCATCTTGCCAAAATAGGGCTAAAATTTTCTGTTATTCTCTGACTTCGTCATTCTTTCCCCGATCTCTGACTTTATAGAGGCATACAGGCAATGAAGCTGCACTGGAAGCTGGTCGGCAGCACTCTAGTGCCGTGGATTATTCTCTCTTCTACGTCAAAAATCCATATTTAGGAGAAGGGGTGAATTAATGATGTATATAAGCTACTTAACATTCATGACTTCAACATTTTTTCTAGTCTTTGTTTAATTTAATGCTACTATTTTCGTTCCTGATGCTTGATATGTTTATTTATTTTTCGAGTGCTATTAATCTTATGTGTGCCGTGCCCTCGAAGTTCGTTTGAACCAGACGCCACGATAAATGCTTCGTAGAATAATAATGTCAGATGTCAAAAATGTTCCCAAATAGCTATATATATCTTAACTGCGGTATCTCATCTATGGTGCACCATTTATCATCAAAAGACACAAGTAGAAAGAAAACCTTACCAAGATTTATGAGGAACTGTACGAGGTATGAAGAAGAGCTCGAGGAAAACTTTGATCAGTTGTCCTCGCAGAAGAGTTTCTTTATGTCAGTGACGCTGGCTGAAATGAAAAAAAAAAAAAAACGTACAGCAGACCGTAGTCCGTAACCTATTGCGTGCTCTCTGGATGATCTTGCCACTGCTTTTCAAATGATTCGCCGCTTGACGCTCATCAACTGCACCGCAGCCGAATAGGAGTGCCAAGGACCACACTGGATACCAGTTCAGCTGGGCCAAGATGCTTTCCGTTCTCCTCTAAACCAGCTAATTCGTCCACTTTTGCGAAAGTGGCGTTTTAATGCTTGAAACCGGCTGAATACTTTAGTCGCTAATAATTAATCATAATTTTCTTCAAGATATTTGAAAAATCCCTATTTATCACTTTCAAATTTAATATTTTAATCACTATTATTTGATATTAGAAACTTTGACACCAATCGATAACGTATTAACTGTTAATGGCAGTAGCGCTTAAAATATAAAATGTCTATCTTCCAATGAAAATAAGAACGTTTCTGGTTGATTTTCGAGTATGGGGTTTTAGAGACTTTACTTCCCAGTGGAAGAGATCACTAACTGATCAGAGAAAAATTTAATGGAAATTTCGGCTGCGCCCAGCTTGCGAGAAAAAAAGCAAAGATCTCTTACCTTTGCATAGCTACGGCATTCTCACAGGAATCATTTTCTGCGTGCAAATTTTATTGAATGGAGAAAAATACGAGAAAATCGAATGCCTTATATAAGCAATTGTTTAGGTCAATTGAAAACGCTGAAAAGTCAAGTTGAAGCTCACAGTTCGATCTCACGTCGCACGATTCCTTCAGACAAATTAGCCCTCTAGCATGAACTAGGCTCATCAGCTCAATTATGAAACACCAGCAGATTAGCTTGTCGTTGCACAAGATCGGTAATCCCTGCCATTTCAAGGCCCGTATTCCATTAATAAGTATAAAATTAATGTATGCTAAATAAATTAAATCACACTCGCATTGTACATAGCACTTGGATGGTCCACTTGACTCAGGTTTCAAAACTAGAAAAAATTGCACCTAGTAAATTAAATCCCTGTACCTACTAATACAGGATTGTTCACAGAAACTTCCTGTTTAGTATATCGCACCAAGCAGCCTTATGTTGTAAGAAAAAGGCGAGAGTATTTCATATGAAAGGCAAGGTCATGAAGTTTTGGGTCGCGCCTAGTCAGTTGTCACAATTCATTGGACAGGTGAGCAGCTTCCGTTTGCTGTCGAGGCGTACTTTTGTAATGGCCGTTCTATAATCGCTACTAAACGAACATTCCGTATTCGTCCTTCAGGTCGGGTTCGTAATCTGTTCCTAATTTCTACGTGGGTGAGCACATTTAGGGCAAGTGGAGATGTGAATGCAAGAGGGTCTGAAGGTCAGCGGACTGCCACAACACCCGAAAGTGTAGAGAGAGTTTGTCCCATATTTCTTTAAGGAAAACGAACGCGCAGTAACATTGGCTGTAGCTCGGTACACGCAAATGATTATTTTTTTGCCAAAACTGGCTGAAATGAATATCAGGGATGTCTGGTTCCAACAGGATAGAGCCACGGCCCACACAGCGGATCTTCAGAGCCAACATTTAACAGCGCACCTAATCTCGTTGAGAGGTAACCTTCTTTAGCCTGCGCAACCCCCTCTCCCCATTTAGGCTTCGTGTGACTTTTTATGGCGTAATCTTAAATAAATTGTTTATAGTGACTGTCTATGACCCTACCTCATTTCAAAAAGAACAGACGCGTCGATGCGCTTCAGCAAGTTGAACGGAGATTCAAAAATCAATTAAGTGAATGCCTTGACTATAAGGGTCGTCATTTGTCCAATGTCATCTCTAAAACTAAATGATACAAAAATTCAACTAATTTCTTTTTATATGAAATTGTTGTTGTAAATTATATCTTTAATAGTTCTCATTTTATAGAGCTATCAAATCAGGAAGTTTTCGTGAATAACTCTGTATAAAATTCCAATCGAATCTGGACCGAATCTTTCTGACAGTTTTGCATTTTTTTCTTACATTTGTTTTACTATATAAGATAGGGCCTGACTATAGCTCTAGGGTAGGCTTCGTGGTTGTGCGCCCGTACAGCCTCTGTATACTTGCGGCGACAATCTTAAAACGGATTTTGACATATATATGTAAGTTTATATCAACCAAAATTGCGTGGAATAATTCTAAAAATCTCAGTTAAAAGGTGCGTAGGACCATTAGCAAGTATCCAGCCCATCACAGTGGACGCTGTCACATTCTTTCCATTATTGATAGCAGTTATTGCATTGAAAAGAATTAATATCAAGATGCATTTTACGAAATCATACATCCGTCATCAGTAAAATTTCGTTCTACGATTCGCTATCCCCGCAATCAGTTAATTAAACGTCGGATCGTCTTGATCCGACGTCGTCTATATAAACGTCGTCTAGATTATCTACGGTCAACCAAATGGAATATTTTCATGCCACGGCAACATGGCTACGGCCAATGATATGATGAGTAATTTTTGATGAATTTGGGTTTAGCGGGCTGATGTAATGGCGATACTCTTGAATCCTTCGTTTACGGTTAATAATGTAATCAACGTTACTTCAAAATAACAGTCAATGCTATAACATGTGGCACTTATGGGCGAGAACAAAAGTGTTGATCGTGGCGAAGAAAGGATAAAAGAATTGTTGCCGAATGCCACGGAACAAATGTCATCGCAGCAAAATTTGTGCTGACTTCTCTGCAAGCATTGCGGCGGTTAGTAAAATCTAAAGGCTTTACCTATAAATGTAGCGGTAGCGCTGTAGCGGCAAAACCTCGTATCGCTACTTAAATATGTAGCGGGCGCTACCGCTGCCGCCACATTGCTTAAATGTACTGCCGCTACCGCTACCGCTACTGAAAATGTAGCGACCGCTACATGTAGCGCGCTACTGCCCACCTCTGCAAGTTAGAACCGACATGACAAAAATTTCGTTATCGATTGTAAGTCACGACATAATGAGATATTTTCTGTGCGTGAAATTATAATCGCTGTTATCTAGGATCCTAGTTTAACGCATAAGAATCCTGATGTTAACGAAGTTGATTGTCGAAAAAACTTTCTCACTTGTTCAACTTCATTACATGTGAGAATTTCCGCACAGACATAGTCTTAGATAAAATCAATTGTTATTTATTGAGTAATATTCAAGTTTTGGCGTTTAAATTTTTGTTCAGAGCAGCAGGCTAGAGCTAATGTCATAAGATCTCATTGAAAAAACGACTATAGTCGTTTTGAAACAACTATAGTTCGAGTTAATTGAAACGACTATAGAATTCGAGGACTTCCGGTTGCTAAGTTGATTAGAGCTGACGAAAGATTGTTTAATTACTGATTATTGAACGTGGACTATAATATGCGAGACGGCTGTTAACTTGAGCTAGAGTCAAATTTGACAGTGCGACTTGATTGAAAGCTGGTTTTTGAATTCTCCTACCCTATTTGAAACTGATACCTTTTCGAACTACTAAATGTGAATACAACATCTGAATACAACATCTGAATTCCGAACTAAACATGAACAAAAGACGAAACCTAACAAACAGAAATGAACAAAGAACGACATAAATTATTAATGGTGGGAAAAAATTCCCACTCCGAGCGATGTAACGTAAAATTTACGTCATTTATATGACGTGAAATTACGTCATCACATGTTTTAAAAATCTTCTCACATGGCATTAGCCATTTCTTGGCTATGTACGTGAGGAAATTATGAATGAATATCGCGGTGTTTCTTATATAACACGACCATGAGTTATCCCTGGCTCGCTCAGCGTACCGTGAGCTGCGTTTCGGGTCCGGCCGTAAATTTGTCCGAGACGTGTTTCAATACGTCTCGTTTAATATTAAGCGTTTCTTCATGGAATATTCTTTTAAAAGCAGACTGGTTAAGAAAACATGATCATATTTTTTGCAACCCTGCTAATACGGAATAGTGGCATGAACGTATAGGTGCACCAGTTGCTCGCATGCGACTGGATTCCAAAAATTGGAAATGTTGTGGAAATTAGCCCAATATTTGGACTGAAAATTAGCCCAAAGATTCCGTTTATTGAATCGGCAAATTAAAGAAGGGGTTTCAATAATCGTCAGCATAAGAGTAGGAAGAGGTTGCGTGATAAAGTCCTGTTCTTGAGGAAAAGTTGTCAGGAGAAGCGTTATCGGATGTTACAGATAAAGTCGATAAGATAGTAGATCTCAAGAAGCTGGCTAAACAAAAATCAAAAGAATTAAAATGGTTCAATGCATTGCATCCATGTGTTTGGATTATTACCGTCCCTGCTCTGTTCTTCAGTAGCATGATGTGCTAGGCGCTCAGCAACATCAGTGTGGCACAGGATTTGCTGGTGTGTGGTCGTGCGAATAAAGCAGTGACCCTCAAGAATAGAATAGAATAGAAGTGTCGGAAGCCGATTGCTGCTGCCTTTTTCCCTTTCGTCTCGTCGTCATTGCAATCGCACGCTACGCATCATCCGAGAATGAAGCCTAGTTCATTTAGCAAATATACTTAAATTTCTCCAGCAGGCAAAGTATCACATCTATTTACAGTCGGCGAAAGTATTATTGTTAGTTAGCACTGAAAAGGGAGATAACCATGGCCCCTGGACAACAAGATCTTGTACTGAGCAAGCATCCGCCAGATATCGAGGTAATTTCACTTTCTTAGGCACGCATAAAAGTTATTATAAAGGAATGCTGTAAAAAGCACACTCCGATGAAGTGTATGTGCTGCGTAAATTGTTCTTAACTGAAATGTTACTCAAGCGCCTCAAAACAATTTTGTGCACAGCAAAGACAACTAACTAAGTTTATGAATTATATTATGTGTTTTTATATATATTATACGTTATATGTTTTTTATATATATTATACGAATTATACGTGGATATTATACAAGTTAGTATACATATTCTCCCATATATGTTTTTACTGATTCGTGCCAAATAAATGATCTTGAGGCATGACAGGTCGCTGAACACTCCAATTGACTTTAGTGTTGCCGAGCGCTGCGATACACTGCTGCCATTCAGAGCTCGTTTATAGTGATGATATTCAAGGCACGAATGCCGTGCACTTGAGACTGCATATGTGTAGGCGAGAGGCCTCGATATGCTGTTGCTGCAACTGCGCATATCTGTTGTCAGCTGTGCGAGGCCACCGTACAACGAAGCATAGTCCCCGCTATTCCTACAGCTGACTGTCCTTGATGAGAATATTGATTCTAAAGCGGATCACCGCCTGCCGACCTTGACCTTGATTTGGCGACCGATCAACCGGTTACGTTTTCGATGAGAAACGCTTTCGATGAGAATTTGGATGTAATCTTTCATGGTCATCCTTGTTGAAATATGTAAATTGAAGTAAATTGTTCTCGCTAATAAATTTTAAATATCTGGGAACGATGTGACTAACCATATATATTATTCAACAAATATTACATGATGAAGTATTTGCAGGAGCTGCTTAGCCTGAACCCGCGCGCCAGCCCTCATGCTAACCTGCAGCCGTCATCTGTGACGAAGGTGAACAAGAAGCATTGGAAGAGGAACAAAGTGAAGTGCGAGACGCATTGCAGCCTCGAGAACGACTTTAGTGACGTGAAGCACACGACGCTGAGTGAGAGAGGTGCGCTGCGGGAGGCCGTGCGATGCCTCAAGTGCGCGGACGCTCCGTGTCAGAAATCTTGCCCTACGCAGCTCGATGTCAAGATGTTCATCTCGTGCATCGCCAACAAGGTACATAACTCGTTTTGATTTTATTGACAATTTATCTGAAGAAAATTGACAGTAATCTTTAAGACTGGGTGACCAAGAGCTGAAGATTAACATGATTAGAGCAATTAGTTGTATGCTCGATCCTCAGCTAGCTTCAATAATTCTGTGATGCCTGGGATCGGTGGGAGTCCAGACATGGTCTAATATTTAACGTCAACAACATTAAGTTATTGAATTTTTGATCAATTGTTTTTTTAATTGTTTTGATCAATTGTTTCAATAATTGTTAATAATTGTTTGAGCAATTGTTAAGAGCGTGAAAGGACGACGCTTCTAAGTTTCGTCGGAATAAAGTAATTTCTCAGACGGGATTAATATTTCATATTAGAATTTTAATCTAATAACGGCCGGCAGCTAGAATTGGTTTCGGCTCTCAAGTTCGGCCCTTAGTTTGGGCTTAGGAAAAGTTAGCAGACTTTCCTAAGCATAAAGAACATAAAAAATATGGTGACTGCAATTCAATAAATTACATTTATCCCAGTCAAAATTCAGTCCAAGAGTTGAATGAATAATAAAACTGTACATGCGCAAGAGGTCGACGCGGCGACAGAGCTCGCAAAGTCTCAAAATATTCCGACTTTGCACGGTGACTGCAGCGCTTCAAAGGTTAACTCTGCAGTCCAGCCATTGCCAGACTAACTCGGCCACTCCTTAAACCGTGTCGGGTGACAGGCACAGGTCCGTTCATACAAGATGAATACTTATTAAGTCAATGGGCAAATAATTCGTGGTGTTCAAGCCTTATAGTAACTTCCTTAGTATTTGTTTCGGACGTAGCAGTCTGAGGCCACGATGGATTGCCGCCTCTGACTATCTCGAATCCGCCTTAATTTGGGTCAGCTGATACACGATGCTGTTGCTTGCTTCTCGCCACCGGTAGTGGTGCAAGGGCGGTTGATCAGGGATTGTGCCCAGGAACACGGCCAGTCGCCTCTTGAAGATCTCCAGGGATCACCCTTTGGTAGTACGTTAAACAGCTTCGGCCCTGCCACGGAAAGAGATCCTTCCCGCTGAGATTTAAATCAGACCGCAGATCTGTCACGTAGTGGAGGAATCCTGCATAGCCTCCCCCTTCTCTCGTTTTGGTAGGTCTCAATCCGTTTTCGGAGTTTGATGCCATTCCGGTTGTTATTTTCCATGCGTACAAGACTACAAGTTGTCGAAGTTCAATTGGTCCATCGACCGCTTACGACTTCCCTCACGCTGCCTTCCTGACTTTCAGAACTATTATGGAGCTGCAAAAATGATTCTGTCGGACAACCCGCTGGGGCTGACGTGTGGAATGGTGTGCCCCACGAGCGACCTGTGCGTGGGAGGATGCAACCTCTACGGGACTGAGGAGGGTCCTATCAACATCGGAGGACTCCAGCAGTTTGCCACGGAGGTCAGATTCTTTCATGTTTAGTCGAGATCTGTGCTATTGCAGTAGTTATATAGCTAGTGCAGTTATTTTTGAGAAATTATAAACATTCATTGTACATTTTCAGCAATTTTTCAACTCAATGGCCAGTCCTTCAATCATAATGTCTTCCCCATACATCGTGCATTAATTGTGAAGCTTGCGGATTTGCCCAACGATCAGGAGGTACATAATCCAAAAAATTTATCATTTCATTTGCTCTATATATTGCTCTTTAATCCCGTTTCCCCATATCACGTTTCCCAGCATCGTGCTTTCTCTTATCGCATTCTCTCAGATCGTGTTGATATTGTCAACACAAAGTTAAGGTAACAAAATGAACCCCTTGCCAAGAGACACATAATCTAAACTTTCATTCAAGTGCCCTATTCAAATTTAGAGAACGTTAATTTTTCAGTTTTGAATGAAATTTATACTCATCAAATTGTCAATCACATTTCAATTGCGCTTGATTTCACAAAATAAGTAAGCAATGGCCAATTATTTCGCCATTAAATTTAGGTTATATCCCAACATGTTTATTTATACGCGTTTGCATTGCTCTTAGTTTTTAATACCACCAGACCTCAAACATAGGAGGAGACTTTCACAAATATATAAAAAGTTATGTTTTCGGCTAGTCTAAATTCGACAGATCATAGCTAGTACACCTTTCTGACATCACACAGTTGTTCATTGCGGTGAGTACGCGTTAGTGCACGGAGCAAAATCGTACGCAATTTCCTTCCGAGACCTGGCAATGATATGTAGCAGTATCATCTTTCTTCCTTTATATTAGCTGCGAATGATAGACCTGCAGCCAATGATATTTATAGCACCATGCATCTTTCTTCCTATTAGCTGCGAATGATAGACCTGCCGATGATGTGCAGCAGTACCATCTTTCATCCTATTAGTTGCGAATGATAGACCTGCCAATGACATTAGTAGTGCTAACTTTCTTCCTATTAGCATGTGATGGGAATAAGACGAGTCATTATTTTATTGAGTTCTCCATTTTTTGACCGACGTTGTATTCGCGTCGTTCGTTCTGTTTGGTTGAGTAAAACGTAGCACAGAGAACAGTGGGACACTTCATTCAGGTTTAGATCGAAATAAGATATTAAATAGATGAACTATGCACAAGAGCAGCATGATCAAACACAAAAAGCTCTCCACCGGAACAAGTGCCATTAATTCCCGGATAAACCCGCCGATGACTAAGTACTCATATAGCCAGCCTCCGAGAAATCCGCTAGATCTAGCAAAATTGCATTCAAAATTACAAAAACAAATTATTTACTCAAAAATAAAAATGGAGAAGAGCTACAAATCCTAATAAGATCTAGATATTAACGTAAGACAGGCAATATAAACAGTAATTTAATGAAAAAAAATCAGTTTATAGAGGTGAACAAATACATCTTATATGCTGCAGATGTTCCGGGAGATGAACATCCCCCAGACGCTTCCTGCAACTCTTCCTCAACCCCGTCCTCCTGCTATCAGGGAGGCTGTTCCACATGTCGGTGACTCGAAGCGAGAAGAAATGTTGTCGCATGGATGTGTTCCAACGCTGTTTTTTTAGTTTATAGCTGACGAAGCATGTTGCTGACGAAGCGAGAATGTTGTCGAACATGGTTGAATTAGCAGGTTGACCCATCAGAAGCTCACTTTTGCGGATGTAGTTCGTCGTTCGCCTGTGACGTCACTGATCTCAGTGACGTCACGGGCATTAACCAATCACCGCAATGCGATCAAACCAGTCAGCCAATCCGTCAAGGGAATGACGGGATTGTTTACGTTTCTCGATCTCAGTGACGTAACAAGAAAACTGAACTGAAAGGCGGAAATCTTCGTGGGTCAACCTTAAATAGTTCAACCATGGTTTTCTCGTGAATGAATTGGAACGCAGTTTTTTATAACACTTTTTTAAAGTCATTTGTTGTTGTTTGTTTCTTTGTCTACTACAAATCTTATAATCGATATTTAACACGCTTCTACCTGTCCAATCGATCTGAAATTTGGCACACTGGCTTAAAGTTGGAGACAATGCATGAATCAATTGACAGAATAAATAATTTTAAAAATGTAAAAAATTTTATTTCTAATATTAAAAAAAATTTGAAAAACTAATTTGTCTGCTACATATCTTATAATCGCTATTTAACACACTACTACCTGTCCAATCGATCTGAAATTTTGCACACTTGCGTTAAGTTGGAGACAATGCACGATTCAATTGACAGAATAAGAAATTTTGGAAAATTTAAATTTTTTTAATTTTAAAACTAAAATTTAAAAAATGACTTTGTTTAATATTTGATGATAAAGTTAGAAATTCATTCTACATATGTAACATCGCAGACACTGAATTCTTTAGAAGTTTTGTCTTTAAAAAGTAATTTTAAAACGCATAATTTCTTCATAAGACTTGCCCTTCAAGCTGCCTGCAGGTGCTACGCAGATAACCTAACTTAATAATAATATAATAATAGCGGTTTCAGCGTTTAGTAGGCCGTAGGCCTGTCGCCGATTCTTATACTTATCGTGACTTGTTCACAGGAGATCTAAAGACAGTTCCTATGATAGGATCATTTAAAAAAATGACGTTTTTTTAAATTGCTACAAGCCTTCTACCAGGTCCATATAGTGCTAGGCATCTCAAGTCTGCACTTATATTTCTCCAAATCTTTATCTAGTCTGTTCTTGAATGCGTTCATACTCTGAATGTTAACGATGTAATCAGGGAGGCTGTTCCACATAGAATAGAATAGAATAGAAGTGTCGGCGTTGAAGACATAGGCCCATGGCCTGTTGCCGATTCTTGAACTTTTCGTGACTTGATTCACAAGGGATGGAAAATCCTCTAAATAATTATCTTACTCGTATAATTCATGCTGCACAAATTTACATTTTTTTTAAATTACTGCATGCTCATTTCCGAAGTAAGGGTTTGTAAGAAACGAATGCTTAATTTGTCTTAACGTAGACAATTCTACGATCATTGATACTGTAATTACGATATAATCCATGTCATTCGTATCTTAAGCCTGGTTATATAGTTACCGCCTGCAAACCAAGGATTAAAATTTCAAGCAGAGAAGCCCGTACGTATTAATTTCTAATAATTATTTTATAATAAATTGCTCTAAACTACAATACAAAACCTGTCTTCAAGCACCTGGTACTCCCCCGCAGACTGCTGCCTCGCCTCTAACTCGTCCATCTCCAACCACATGTGGATTAATTTAGATTGAAAATATCATGAGAACTGTTCCGAGCAACCAACAACTGGTCCTCCCCCGCAGGCTGCGACCCCACATCCATCTCGTCCATCTCCAACCACAAGCGAATTATTTTATAATGAGTATATCATAAATAATGTTCCGAACCACCAGCAACTGATCCTTCCCCGCAGGCTGCGGCCCCGCGTCTATCTCGTGCGCGACGTTCCTGGCTCGTCTGGGGTACACGTCGCTGACGGTATACGAGCGAGAGGCGTGGGTGGGCGGTCTGAGCACGTCAGAGATCCCTCAGTACCGTCTGCCCTACGACGCCGTCGCCTGGGAGGTGAAGCTCCTCACAGATCTCGGTGTCACAATCGAGAAGGGGCGTCAGCTCTCCCTCAAAGACCTCACAGTCAAGGTAAGGCCCGCTTATCAAGAATGAACATAAGTTTAATTCATGGCCTACGTTTTTCTATATATGTATTTATCATCGTAACCTTTTGCGTTACGATGATAAATGTTATTTCAGTTTATTTTGCAGTTTCAGTTTTTTTCAGTATATTTCTTTTTGTTATTTCAGTTTATTTTGCAGACCTAGACCTGATATGTTATATTCAATTTAGGCCTTGGCGCATCAATTATAGACATATTCATTGGTTTTAATTGACTGTTGTCTCAATATCCATGAACATCCTTATCAGGCTTGCATAAATTTCACAACTCATTTCTTCCTCTTACTTGAAAAATATCTAACTATTATGTAATTTTTATAGTACCAAATGAAAATTTGAATTTTTTTGCCAGTGTAGTCACCCGTTTGGAATAGATCGTCTCTCAAACCGACGTCAAAATGGTTCATGATTTCATTGCATCGTTGTTACAGGGGCTGCTCGACCAGGGCTTCAAGGCAGTGTTTGTGGGCATCGGCCTCCCTTCACCCAAGAGGAACCCCATCTTCGCGGGGCTCACGGAAGCCCAAGGCTTCTACACCAGCAAGGAGTTCCTCCCCCAAGTGGCCAAGGCCAGCAAACCTGGTACGGGGCTGGGGGGCTAAACGTTGCATTGTTTACTCCACCGTTGGTTCTGCTGGACACGATTCCAATGAATTATTCAATGGCTTGGCTGCAATATATGTCAACAATAACGCGATTTCAAGACGAGTATGATTTTAAATAAACTTACGATCGAGTGAATATACACTTGCTGACAAATGTGTTGTTGTGAATAAGAATGAATAATAAGAATGTGTGAATATATCAAACTGTTGTGAATATTGATATAATAAATTAAAATAATTCTGCTCAGGAATGTGCGGGAGCTGTAAAACCCCGGCGCTGCCCTCTCTGAAGGGCGTGGTGCTCGTGCTAGGAGCCGGCGACACGGCCTTTGACTGCGCCACCTCCGCCCTGCGCTGCGGGGCGCGACGCGTCTTCGTCGCCTTCAGGAGGGGCTTCACCAACATCAGGGCCGTTCCTGAGGAGGTAGCTAGGAGTCTAGTTCTTCAGGAACCGTGACAAGAGAAATAATTGTCAGAGCATGTAATTCTGTTGCTGTAAAGTCCACCAGCTGCCTACAGAGACCACGTTGAGAACTCACACCTTCGACCGGCCAGCTTCTTGTAGTTTTCGTTTGATTTTTATTTTTGTATTGAGGAAGGAGGTTGAATGTTGGTTAGTAGAGCTAACCAAAATCAATAACACAAAAAACGACACAAATTTGTTATATATATGATTTTTGGTACCATTATTTTTATTCCAGTCTTGTTTTCCCAACTTCAAAAGCCTATAAATCTGTAGCCTCTACCCACATCGTTTTCGAAAAAGTACACAAAAAATGTAGCTCAGTACTCACTGCAGTGAGTGACAGAGAGGGCATTTTCTCGTCGACGAAAACGTGGTCATGGACGGACGGACAGACGGACGGATAGACAGACGGACGGACATGACGAGCACAATAGCGTCTTTTTTTCCATAAATGAGAAAATGCGCTAAAAACACATTCTTGACTCGTTGCATCTTTTTTTTGCTTTTTCCCTGGTGAGTTCATGTTTATTCTTACGGTCACTAATGTCCATTATCAATATTTTTTATACATCCAAGTCACCTTTAATTATTTAAACTTCTTCACATGCATGCTGTTCTTCGTTAACGGTGTAATTAAATAACCTGGCAAGTTGGCCTGGAACAGATGGAGCTGGCGAGAGAGGAGCGCTGCGAGTTCCTGCCTTTCCTGTCCCCCCGGCGGGTGGTCACTAGGCAGGACCGCATCACAGGCATGGTCTTCGCCCGCACCGAGCAGCAGGAGGACGGTTCTTGGGTCGAGGACGAGGATCAGACCACGCAGATCAAGTGTGACGTCATCATATCGGCTTTTGGTTCTCATCTCCAGGACGAAGACGGTGAGTAGCAAGCGTACGAGAATAAACCGCGATTGTCAGATCTTCTGAGGAAACTTTTCTGAACTCACTGTTGTGAAAGATTTAACCACGTAGAAGAAGAAAAATAAATGTTTTCAACTGACAAATAATTAAATTAACTCTTGCAACTGCTTGAAGCTTTATTGACGTCAATGTGTCATTTGTGTACCAAATTTTAAAAATATGATTCCATCAACGGCATTAATCTGACCTGCAGTGTTGGGCGCACTCGCGCCCGTTGAGCTCCAGGACAGCGGTCTGCCTCGCGTCGACCCCATAACAATGGGCAGCAGTGAACCCGCGGTCTTCTTCGGTGGTGACATCGCGGGCACCGCAGAGACGACCGTCGAGTCCGTCAACGACGGCAAGACCGCCGCCTGGTCCATGCATAAATATCTGCAGGTCAGCCCGCGTACACGAGCTGACTCAGCGATAATACGTTGTGTCCGGCCGTATATTATTGGGTTGAAATAATGCCTTTTCGAAAAAATAACGCAGTATTCCGCGGTGTAATATTTGCTTGAAACAAGTGATTACTCGGAACTGTAACGCAATACTCAGTAGTGTATTAATTGGTAGAAATAAGTGGTTACTTCGGAAAATTCGTGTAATTCTACCGGCAGTGCATATAAAAAATATTTAAATATTATCTTTTATTCCTCTACAAATTTTGTATTCATGTCTGCCTCTGATGGTTTACTTCAAAACCAAAATTAGGAGGATAGGATGGATTTAAGATGTTAGACCTATAACTATAAGTTTGTGGTCTGGTATTCCCCCAGAGACGACACTTGCAGGTTGATTTGTACAGTAGCACTCAGCTTCTATGAGTCACTACCAAAATTATCCCAAATTCCAACTGTGGTTCTTTTGCCAGGGTCTCGCGGGCGTCACGGTGCCGTTGGAGGCGGCTTTGCCGCAGTTCCACACGCCCGTCGATGACGTTGACCTCAGCATTGAAATCTGCGGCATCAGGTGGGCGTCTCACATAAGTATTACTCTTTGCGCTTATGTATACACAAGGGTTGTCAACCATGAATATTTTCATGAAAGTTCAATCTATGATAATAGGCTCGGTTGGGTCAAGAGTGTTTCGCTATGCTTAGAATTTCTACACACGATTATTTCAGCTTAAGGATTTCCAAACCTCGTGAGGATTTGGCTGAAGCATATTTCCCAGTTAGATGTCAACTGGCTGGTACATATATCCACTAATACTAAGTTTATTGATAACTAAGTGAGTGATTCCTAAGAACTTATATGTAATCAAATATAATCCATTTGCCCTTAAGGTTCCCGAATCCATTTGGCCTAGCCTCGGCCCCACCTACGACCTCGGCACCCATGATGCGACGGGCGTACGAGGCGGGCTGGGGCTTCTGCGTCACCAAGACCTTCGGGCTCGACAAGGTGGGGCGAGACCACATTCGCTGTCATTACTCATTAGGGAAACCAGCAGCTATCTCGATCAATCGTCAGTTTTGGAAAGATCGGGTTCCAAAGGCCGGATCCCTTGTGAATCAAGTCACGAAAAGTATAAGAATCGGCAACAATCCAATGGGAGGCTTCAGTTACTGTCATCACTTCATTAGCGAGACCACCTTTGCTGTCATTTCTCATTAGGGAAACTCCAGTCACTGCCATGTCCTCATTAAGAAGACTTACGTTGCTGCCATCACCTCATTAGGAGACTTCAGTTGCTGCCATCACCTCATTAGGGAGACTTCAGTTGCTGCCATCACCTCATTAGGAAGACTCCAGTCGCTGCCATAACCTCATTAGGGAGACTCTAGTCGCTGCCAACACCTCATTAGAGAGACTTCAGTTTCTGCCAACACCACATTAGGGGAACTTCAGTTGCTGCCATCACCTCATTAGGGAGACTCTTTCGCTGCCATCACCTCATTAGGGAGACTCCAGTTGCTGCCATCACCTCATTAGGTAGACTCCAGTCGCTGCCACCACCTCATTAGGGAGACTCCAGTTTCTGCCATCACCTCATTAGGGAGACTTTGAGCAGTCATTTACATTTACTCAATATTATTGAACAACTCAGAGGCGTAGCATTCGTTCAATCTCAGCTTCTGTTTAGATGCTGTTTATTCGTTGTAAAATCCTTTGAAAAGCGAGTGCTAAGACTTTCCAGGCAAAAACGGCTTCTAAACGTACGTTAAACATCTGCTACCTTAAGTTTTTGTATAATTAAAAAAAATTGTTTATGACTTGTTAAAGTTTCTAGAAGTGCTGCATTTTCAGTTGGTGTGTGTAAGTGAAATATTGTTCGGTTGCCTCCAGGACCTTGTAACGAACGTGTCGCCGCGCATCGTGAGAGGCACCACTTCAGGGCACGTCTACGGCCCCGGCCAAGGCTCCTTCTTAAACATTGAACTCATTTCGGAGAAGACCGCGGCCTACTGGTGCAAGAGCATCATGGAGCTCAAAGCAGACTTTCCTGACAATGTGAGGTTATAAAGACGACCAGAAACTGTAGAACTAAGCTGAATGTTAGTACGTTCACGATCGTTTATTAAGGTGAGCATGAATTTGGTGAATGCCATGCTTTGGAATTTTTGAAATTTGGTTTGATTTACAATTTTCTTGGATGCACACACGTGTATAGTATCATGAGACAAGGATGTTCGTTTGCTGAAAGCCTGCTTTGCTACCGGATGCTCAGTCGGAGGCTCAAGTTGCATACAAGTAATGTCCAGTCACCGATCGAGTTTGCCTTGAGGTAGGGTTTAAACTAAATAAACTTCTATTCTCGCTAAAAAAAGGTTAGTAAAGAGTTTCTAGCTACTATATTGTCGTCCCCACATTCTTGAACACACTAAATTGTGTTACTGCTAAGAAAAATATATGTATTCTATTGCAGCGACCTCCCCGCTTGTGTCAAGAGTCTTTGCAGCTTTGTGCTGATTAGTACATATGTAAATTGCTCATGCCCAAAATAGTATTTAGAAAAGTCATAGCTTTTGTGATTACTGAAATAATTGGTGAACAACCTATCTCGAGGAAAGTGGACAGTGATGTACACTCTCCTCGTGAAGTACTCAGTGTGTGTCTTCGGTGGTCTGGTTAAGGTCTCATATATCATTAGTCTTCTTCAATCGCAAGTTTATGATTTACTTGAATTTATTTGGCGTTTTATTCGCTTTGGAATTCATGAAGAACATCTGTGCTGCAGGTGCTGATCGCGAGCATCATGTGCAGCTACAACGAGGACGACTGGACGGAGCTGACCAAGATGGTTGTGGCCGCTGGGGCTGATGCCATCGAGCTCAACCTCAGCTGTCCTCATGGCATGGGGGAGAGGGGCATGGGCCTGGCATGTGGCCAGGTCAGTACGATGCAGTTATCAATTTTTTTTAAAGGCCTCCCACACTCACCATTCCAACAAAAAGGATTTATTAATTTTATTAATTAAAAACAGGGAATGGTTTCATGTCAATGATCAGGGCCCCGACCTTAACGCCTCTGATGGTGGCCTACACCGACACCGAGGGTCACTGAGCTGAGAATCGGCATCAATATCACTCTACATAAGAACATAAATTGGATCATGTGTTAGTGCTGCTCATAATTCTGTTGCAGATCATTCAGGTGCTAGACGAAAAAGTGTGATGGCTGTTATGAAGGAATCGTCAAGACTTTATCTGTGTTGTACGCATGTTTCCTAATAGTTCATTTCTGAGTCAACAGCACTGATTTCTGTCATCCTAATCATATTACGCCGCAATTCTACATAGTTATTAAATTATAGTGAGTAATTTAGGTTCCTCTGAAGTTGACGAATCGTCCTTTAATCACAGCATGCTGACGGAAATCTATCAAAGTTTGTTTTGATTTGAACCTCACCAACTTGCATTGATGGTGGCGAATCATCGGAATCAATAGCAAACAAAATCCCGATTGTCAGTTTATTATTTAATATGAAGCATTATTAGGCCACCGATTTTTTCAAACTGACTGAAATCTCGAAAATGTCCATTTGTTAATTTTTTTAATTAAATGTACAATGGCCTAGGACCCTGAGATGGTAATGAATATCTGCAAGTGGGTGCGGACAGCCTCGCCCATCCCCTTCTTCGCAAAGCTTACGCCCAACGTCACAGAAATAGTCCACATCGCGACAGCGGCTAAGGAAGGTATTCAGTTTCGTTCCTTCATGCCTAATTCACACAATTTTTTAGTAGTCACCAACTTTCCCCACGATTGCTCTATGATCAAATCTGCCAAATAATATATATATATAATTCCAAGACTCTTCTTCTAAATAAAGAATTGTAGTGTAATGAACTCACCAGGCATATGGCGTTGAATCAACGTTGATTAAACGTTTAGATGTTGTATCAACGTTTATTAAACGTATAGACGTCGAATTTACTTCGATTACACGTTTAGACGTTGAATTTACGTATATTGAACGTTATTTTACCGTTATTCGCCATGGGTAACAGATTACGTATATTGAACGTTATTTCACCGTTATTCGCCATGGGTAACAGATTACGTATATTGAACGTTATTTCACCGTTATTCGCCATGGGTAACAGATTACATATATTGAACGTTATTTCACCGTTATTTGTCATGGGTAACAGAGTACTCGTGTTGCACCAGGTGGCGCTGACGGCGTGACAGCCACCAACACCGTGTCGGGGCTCATGGGGCTGCACGCAGACGGCACCGCCTGGCCCTCGGTGGGCGTCCAGCGTCGGACCACCTACGGCGGGGTGTCGGGTGCGTCATCCGCTTTGAGGCTGTCGAAATTTAAATTCAGCTTCCAGCTCTTAGTCATTTGAATTTGTAAATAGATAGGTTATATCGCTTAGTTGTTTTTATCTTGACTGTACTAATTACTGATTTATCTGTGTTCTAGAATTTTCAAATTGACGATAGAGCTGGACTCCGAAACGTTTTATTTGAAGACAATATGAATTTTTGTGGAGTTTTGTGGAATTGACTCTCGTAATATTTTGGTGCCATGATGTTTGTGCGTCGCAGTCTTTATGGAGAGCGCGTGATAAGTGATGCTTTTAAAGCATCGTGTTGTGACTCGCTCACGAGAACGCACGTTCTGAGTAGATATATCGAATGAGAAATTTTCAGTTGCACAAGTTACTCAATTTGTTTGGAAATATATTACGCATTCTCTGATTTGGTCGCTTAGCACTGAACGGATTCGATGTAGCGTTCCAAATGAATTTTAATTTGATTATTTAGAATAACAACGTAATCCTAAAATTTAAATAATTTAATTTAAATTTTAATTTAAAATTTTAATTTAATAGTTTAATTTAGTAATCTTAAAATTAAAGAATAACAAAGTAATCAAAGTAAATTCGATAAAAATTTCGATGGATGAGTAAATAGTTGAATTCATACATATGGATGAGTGAATGAATGTATATTAAAGTAAACACATATAGGACGCATGCGTACGCATTTCACGCGCAGGTAACGCCATTCGCCCCATCGCCCTACGCGCCGTGTCGGCCATCGCGCGCGCCCTGCCAGGCTTCCCGATCCTCGCCACGGGGGGCATCGACTCTGCAGACGCAGGGTTCCAGTTCCTGCTGGGGGGCGCTAGTGCCCTGCAGGTGAGCCATATCAGGTGAGCCATACCAGTTCCTGCTGGGGGGCGCTAGTGTGAGCCGTAGTCTTAACTTCGCCTTGGCCTCTGATTCAAAAATTACATTTATATAAGTTATGTTGACTTCAATAAATAATAAATTCTGTTGGACTATTGCCCACGAAGGTATTTATTCATTGCTCTGCATAAAAAAAAAAAAGCGGGACTATTTGCCTGTATTGTTTCTGTAATCAGTCACTTTGGTGTTCGCCTTGCTTCTCTCTAAATTTTTATCATATGTTCCTGTTATATTCATTATGTTCCCGTACTTCTTAGCTCGAATAAAAAATCCCAAAGCTAGGAATTTTGCGCACATCCACACAAACTCTGCAAAACGTTTCGTGACGAACGTCATGTCCATCATTTAGTAAGCAACGAACGTTCATTCGTCGATTATTACTCAACGAACATTCATGTTTATCGTTTAGTTCTGAACGATGGAAGTCGTTAACCGTAAGCCACGTTCATTTATTTATCTCATGTGCTTTAGTTAGTTTTACTATGTACCGAGCGTATAATGTTCAGCTGCATCTGGCGTAGTCGCGTCTGTGACATTTAAATCCGACCTTTATACTGCAGTAGCAGTGACGTCATACGAGCTCAAGTTTGAACAGCTGTGAGTCAGGTAGTTAGTAGTCACTAGTCAGTCGTGTCAGTAAGGTTCTCCCTGATACTCACACCCGCTCTGGTGCTTCACTAGCGATCTTGTGCCCTAACGCTAGGATAGTGCATAAAACATTTTGTCGATCATGAAATTCACGCTGGTTTTTCATATTTTATACATGCTTCTTTTTAATTGTTCTTTACTGAATAAAGGTTATGTTTTATGGGTATGAACTGAAGTTTTAATGAACAACCAAGTGCAATAAAATACCAGCAAAAGAAACTTTATTCAGATCGGTTTCAGGACGATAGTTACCGGCGTTTAGCCGTAGATCTCGATCAATCTGGCATTACTGAAAAGTGCGGCGAACGTCCGGTGACATCCGGGAGTAAAAAACGAATGTTCATGTTCATCTTTTAGTACCCAACGAACTTCATGTTCATAGATTATTACCAACGAATGTTCCTGTTCATTGCTTAGTATATAAAACGAGCGTTCATGCTAATCGTTTGCTCCAACGGCTGCTGCATGTGGCATAAATCCAGGAACTGGAGTCGGTCAACAGGCTCAGAGACACTCATTGTAACTGGTTGCGACAGGTGTGCAGCAGCGTGCAGAACCAAGACTTTACGGTGATCACCGACTACCTGCTGGGGCTGAAGACTTTGCTCTACCTCAGGCACACCGTGGGGGACGACTGGGACGGTCAGTCCCCGCCCACACCCCAGCACCAGCGGGGCAAGCCTGTCACTCTCGCGGGAGCTCTGCAATCCAAGGTAAAATCAGCTATACCAACATACTCCGTACTTTAACATGGGAAATTTACTTAAATCTAGCTGGCTGCATGCTTACATATATTCTAAAATTAGAGCTGTCCAAACCGTAATCTATCACAATCCGCCTAGGGCATTTTTATTAAGCAAGATTTCTTATATTCAACAACTTCAAGGCAGTTGAAGTATAACTTTGGCACATATGTTATTACTAAGTTGACTACATTGGTGCCTAGGATGCTCTGCCAAACTTCGGCCCGTACCTCCTCGAGCGCGAGAAGCGCAACGCCGCTGCCCTGAAGAAGGGCGGCCGCGGTCGCTGTGCGCCTCCTGACGAGGACGAACTCTCCCGACGTCGCGTCGCTCTGCAGGCGAGAGGAGTGTCTACCGTCAAGGATATTGTGGGACTCGCGCTGCCTCTCATAGGCACCTACGGCGACCTAAACAACCTGCAGCAGAAAGTCGCGCTCATCGATCCTGTGAGCAGCAAACTTTTGAGCTTTGCTATAGCATTATTATTTCTCACAAGCTGTCGTGACACGTGTACGTCATGGTTCCTATCTGTAATGGATTGTTCACGGACACATATCAGCATCCCATACATTGTAGGCTTCACTTATGACGATGAAAAAAACAACTTTTGTCTAAGTTTTAATGCAAGCACTCTAGATGAAATCCACATTTAGATTCATCTATCCATGTTCTATTTTCAGTTAAGATAAAATTGTGTTTCAGGAAATGTGCATCAACTGCGGCAAGTGCTACATGACTTGCAACGACTCAGGCTACCAGGCGATCACGTTCGATCCTGAGACGCACTTGACGAAGGTCACATCAGACTGCACGGGCTGCACCCTCTGCGTCTCCGTCTGCCCAATTATTGACTGCATCAAGTGAGTTGATGGCAGCGGTGAGGTAGACTGCATCAAGTGAGTTGATGGCAGCTGTGAGGTAGACTGCATCAAGTGAGTTGATGGCAGCGGTGAGGTAGACTGCATCAAGCTGTCTCTTATACACATCTAGATGTGTATAAGAGACAGACGCTGCCCTTATGGAGAGTGCGCGATAAGTTATAATTTTAAAGCATCATGTTGTGATTTGCTCATGAGAACGCACGTTCAGAGAAGATACATCGAGTGAGAAGTTTTCGCTGCACGAGTTAGTTTACTTGGGAATCTATTACCTCCTACACATTCTCTAATTTGGTCGCTTATCGCTTAGCACTGAACGGATTCCATGTAGCGTTCCATCTCAAATATAATTCGATCATTTAGAATTACAAAGTAATCTTGAAATTCGTTATAAATTTAGATGGACGAGTGAATAGATGAAGTTAAATTTGTACATATGGACGAACGAATGAATGTATATTAATGTAAACATATTTTGGACGCATGCGTACGCATTTCACGCGCAGGTAACGCCATTCGCCCCATCGCCCTACGCGCCGTGTCGGCCATCGCGCGCGCCCTGCCAGGCTTCCCGATCCTCGCCACGGGGGGCATCGACTCTGCAGACGCAGGGTTCCAGTTCCTGCTGGGGGGCGCTAGTGCCCTGCAGGTGAGCCATACCAGTTCCTGCTGGGGGNCACCACATTAGGGGAACTTCAGTTGCTGCCATCACCTCATTAGGGAGACTCTTTCGCTGCCATCACCTCATTAGGGAGACTCCAGTTGCTGCCATCACCTCATTAGGTAGACTCCAGTCGCTGCCACCACCTCATTAGGGAGACTCCAGTTTCTGCCATCACCTCATTAGGGAGACTTTGAGCAGTCATTTACATTTACTCAATATTATTGAACAACTCAGAGGCGTAGCATTCGTTCAATCTCAGCTTATGTTTAGATGCTGCTTATTCGTTGTAAAATCCTTTGAAAAGCGAGTGCTGAGACTTTCCAGGTAAAAACGGATTTTAAATGTATATTAAACATCTGCTACCTTAAATTTTTGTATAATTCAATTTAAAAATTGTTTATGACTTGTTAAAGTTTCTAGAAGTGCTGCATTTTCAGTTGGTGTGTGTTAGTGAAATATTGTTTGGTTGCCTCCAGGACCTTGTGACGAACGTGTCACCGCGCATCGTGAGAGGCACCACTTCAGGGCACGTCTACGGCCCCGGCCAAGGCTCCTTCTTAAACATTGAACTCATTTCGGAGAAGACCGCGGCCTACTGGTGCAAGAGCATCACGGAGCTCAAAGCAGACTTTCCTGACAATGTGAGGTTATAAAGGCGACTAGAAACTTTAGAACTTAGCTGAATGTTAGTATGTTCACGATCGTTTATTAAGGTGAGCATGAATTTGGTGAATGCCATGCTTTGGAATTTTTGAAATTTGGTTTGATTTACAATTTTCTTGGATGCACACACGTGTTTAGTATCATGAGACAAGGATGTTCATTTACTAAAAGCCTGCATTGCTATCGGTAAGTCAGTGGCTCAAGTTGCACACATATAATGTCCAGTCACCGAATTTGCCTTGAGGCAGGGTTGAAACTCAATAAACTTCTATTCTCTCTGAAGAAGTTTAGTAAAGAGTTTCCAGCTACTATATTGTCGCTCACCCATTCTTGACCACATTAAAATCTGGGTGGCCCGGTGGTTACAGTTCAGAGTACCAAGATTGGCGCAGAGAGGCGCGGGTTCGATCCCAGCTCTGTGCGCCAGTTTCTGGTCAGAATCGGCAAGGAGGCCGTGCGGTTAAGCAAAGCTAAAAAACGAAGCAGTGAGTTGCAAGTCTGAGCCCGCAACAAGCTGTGCATGTTCTGCGACGTTAAGAATCGGCGACAAGCATACGGCTGAAAGCGCTATATATTATTATATTATAATAAAATTTTTTACTGCTACTAAAAATAAATGAATTCTATTGCAGCGACCTCCCCGCTTTTGTCAAGAGTCACAGCTGCTTTGTGCTGATTAATATGTAAATTGCTCGTGCCCAAAATAGTTGTTAATAAAGCAATTGCTTTGATGATTACTGAAATATTTAGTGAGCAGCTTGTCTCGATGAGAGTGTTCCGTCATGTAAGGTGTGTTTCCTCGGTGCTCTGGTTAAGGCACTGAATAAATGTCTCATATATCATTAGTCTGCTTTAATCGCAAGTTTATCATTTACTTGGCGTTTTCTTCGCTTTGAAATTCTTGAAGAACGTCTGTGCTACAGGTGCTGATCGCGAGCATCATGTGCAGCTACAACTAAATTTATACTCATCAAATTGTCAATCACATTTCAATTTTACACTTTTTATATATTTTACACAAATACATAAAAAATTATGTTTCCGACAGATCATAACTAGTACATCTTGCTGACATCACATGCACGGTTGTTCATTGCGCTGAGCACGCGTTAGTGCACGGAGCAAAATCGTACGCAATTTCCTTCCGAGACCTGGCAATGATATGTAGCAGTATCATCTTTCTTCCTATATATTAGCTGCTAATGATAGACCTGCCAATGATGTGCAGCAGTACTGTATCATCTTTCTTCCTATTAGCTGCAAATGATAGACCTGCCAATGATATGTAGCAGTACCATCTTTCTTTCTATTAGCTGGGAATTATAGACCTGCCGATGATATTGGTACTACCACCTTTATTTATAATAGCTGCCATGGGAATAAGATGAGTCATTATTGTATTAAGTTCAAGATTTCTTGACAGACGTTGTAATTGGGAGTCCCGTTCTTTTAGGTTTAATATAAGAAAAGTGGAACTCTTCATTCATGTTAAGATCAAAGTAACAGATTAACCCTCTACCACCGTACCCTCACTCTCCGGGAAAATAACTTTCAACTTAAATTATACATAAAACGGTAAACTATTGAGTGTAGCAACCTGAGGACGTTTGTACGTAACAGAGAACATTTTAAAGTTGTCGTAAGTAGCTGCAACCATCAGTGCAAGTCATTTTGCGCTCACTAGAACGTATCCTTTTTGGGAAGTAGGCGCGTGACAATATTGCTCCGGTTACTCATGTCAGGTGGTAGAGCGTTAAGATGAGTCGTTAGGACGAACAATCGTTTTACATTACTCAACGCTGGGCGCAAAAAAGTAATTATTTAAGAAATCTACCAATATTTTTATAGTATATATGTCAGGGGTCTATTTCTGCGACCCCCTGATAGATTAGTAACTGAGAGTCAGGACTCTAGTAGTTCCAAGTATGACTAAGGCAGGATCAGTGAAACGAACGGTTAACACTAGATCTATTATAATAATAATAAAGTGGCTCGGTGAGTACAGAAGTAAGGGGATTGACAGGTACAGCACAAGTATGTGCCGGAGGAGCGGCTAGCAAGATGACGGCTAGGCAGTACCGCTACGACTCACGAGCGGTGCACAGATCGAGATATATATAGGCCTTAACAGGGATGACGTCACTGAGTGTGACTCTACCATGTAGGTACAGAGCATGTTATAAGAGGGTGACGTATGATAACCTAGAGGGTGATAGAAGATCCCCTGACATATAGCAATTAGCACAACACGACGGCAACGTATGAGTCATGAAGCCTCATCAGTAATGCATATAGACATTCATGTGCGAGGCCAGACTTTATGTCACTCTCCAGGAAGATAACTTCTAACTTAAATTATACGGAAGCAATTTTGTGTAGCAACCTGAGGACGTTTGTACGCAACAGAGAACATTTTAAAATTGTCGTACGTGGCGGCAACCATCAGTGCATGTCATTTGCGCTGACTTGCAACGTATCCTTTTTGAGAAGTAGATGTGTGGAAATATTGCTCCGGTTACTCATGTCAGGCGGTTGGAGGGTTAAGCAAACGAACTAGTCACAAGAGCAGCATGACCAAGCACGAAAAGCTCACCACCCGAACAATTGGAAGTAATTCCCGGATTAACCCGCTGCTGACTAAGTACTCATATCGCCAGCCACCGAGAAATCCGCTATATCTGGCAATATTGCATTCCAACATTACAAAAAGAAATTATGATTTAATCAAAAGGACAAACGGAGAAGAGCTTCAAAAATTTTAATAAGAACTAGAGATCAGCGTAAGACAGGCAATATCAGCAGTAATTTAATACACAATAGAACATTCACGTTATGCAATAACGTCAGTTTGTAGAGGTGAACAAATACATCTTATATGTTGCAGATGTTCCGGGAGATGAACATCCCCCAGACGCTTCCTGCAACTCTTCCTCAACCCCGTCCTCCGCAGTACAACTTCCCCGTCGCTCTTGTTGGTGAGACCAAATTAACCTCATGAAGTGATAACTCTTAACATCATTTTATAGTGCTGTCGGCGCTGAAGAATAGGCCTTATGTGACTTGTCGCTGATTTTTTTACTTATTGTGACTTCTAACAATATAATCAGGCTGTTCCACATGTCGGTGATTCGAAGCGTCAAGAAATGTTGTCGCGTGGATGAGTTGCAAAGCAATTTTTTATTTTATAGCCGTGGCCTCTGGTGTTAGTTCTTAAGTTGTTTCACATTATAGTTATCCTTCTGGGACCTTGTATAAACCTTGGGTATACTAGCTTGTATACTTCAATGAGGTCCCCACGCAGACGTCGATAACAGAGGCGTGGAAGCTTCATAATCTGTAATCTTTCTTCACAATGCTTGCCTTTTAATCCCGGAATTATCCTTGTTGCACGTCTTTGAACACTCTCGACTAAATTTCTGTACTTTTCTAATTTTGGTGATCACAAGGCGTTTCCAAACTCGAGGTTTGGGCGCACGACGGCGGCAAACAACAGCTTCATCGCTTCTGCATCTATAGGAGCTCGTTTGAGCGTCTGATCAGTCCTAGAAGTTTGTTGTATTTATTAGCTCGCGTTTCAATATGCCTAGAAAATGTCAGCTCCTTGTCGATATAAAAACGCCTTAATATTTTTTTCGCGCTGGAATATCCAATCGTTACTCTCTCGTTGCAACCATGCTTTCTCATTAGGTAATCTTGCTGTTCATTTTTCTTCCCAAACAAGTACTTACACATTTTTGCCACGTATCAGCCCAGT